ATAAATGTGTGTGTGCGTGTGTAGGAGGGGGGTTGTACATGTTTTATATTGTTTCGACCCGAACGAGTATATTTATTTTGAATAAAAGTAAAATCTGAAACAATCGAAATTGATGTATCTGCCCAGGAATTGATTGGTAACAAATAAAACTTTCATGCATTCTAGTGAAGAAACGGAACATAGAGAACGAGAACGAGAGCGACTGACAGAGAGAGAGAGAGAGGGGGAGAGAGAGAGAGAGAGAGAGAGAGAGAGAGGGGAAAGAGAGAGAAAGAGGAGAGAGAGTGAGCGCGCGCAAGAGGCGGGGAGGAAGATAAATCAATTGTTTTTTGTGTGAAAGCAAGAGCACAGAAGACGAAAGCACGGCTAAAGGGACGTAGACGGAAAGAAGGAAAGAAGGAAAGAAGGAAAGAAGGAAAGAAGGAAAGAAGGAAAGAAATAATTTTTTGCTCGGAGAAGAAGCACTACACAGTTTTGGGGATGGGTTAGGTGCGATGATAGAGTGGGGCATGGAGAAAAGAAGAGGCGAACGAGAGATATAATTCGAAGAGAGGTTCGATGCGGCAAATGCGGCGAATGCGCTGAATGCGTTGAATGCGACGACGGTAACGTCATGCGCTCTGAAAACAACCGCAACCCCCCGTGTTAAGAGACGGAAGAACGGCAGGGATACGCGGCATGGTGGTGCTGCGAGTGAAGCGCGAACGCGCGCACGCGCGCACGCGCGTATGCAGTGTAGAAGATGCTCGTAGCGGAACAGAGACGCGAAGGCACGCACGCTCGTAGCTACTACTGCTGTAAAGGAGGGAGTCGCAGTGTATCCAAGTTGTGCAGTGTTGCTTACCACGTAGGAGGCATAACACTCGCCGTCTTTACAATAGGATCCTAACATTTTCATAAATTTTTAAGTTCTACGTTTCGGTGTCTTCGTTTCTTAGATGCTCTTTTCTCTTTGTTACTCTTGGAAGAAACGTATCACCGGTCTCGTCGTAAATCCTAGCACAAGATCGATTATCTCGAGAAAGGTGTTTTTCAGCAGGTCCATTGCGAAAGGCAAGTAATTATTTGTAAGAGCATCCGGAACTAGGATCACAAAAGTTGTTAGCGCTGAATATTTTTACGTACACACGCGATCAACGACGAAGGTAGATCTGGAATTCAGCGTGTAATTCGACTCATAGATACATAGATATATGGATACGATTGAGATTGATAATTAGACCAAGATCGATGTACCAGAATCAGCGCGCCTAAGAACCAGATGAGATATCGGGAAAATGTGAAATGGAATTTCAAAAAGGGAAAAGGAAAACAGAGTTAGAAGCAACACTGTCACTGACACCGATTAAGATCGCTGGAATCATTGGATATTCTTCCATCGTGGCTATATCAGCTACTTAACTTACGAGTCGAGTTAAGATACACAAGTTGGACCGAGTTAAGATACAGTGGATAATCCGGAAAAAGTGGGTTCTTAGTGCCATTGTTAGTGCCCGGTCCGAAATTAATAATCATCGCGGGTCCTACCTCTCTCTCGTGCCAGAGATTGTTCCACATATCGATACTCATATCGACCACTGTTGGTTTTTGCGTAACGATGTGTAGCTTTTAAAATAAATATCGCGTGTCGTTCGAGTGTTCTTCTAATAACATTGTGATCGAATCGAATAAAATAACCTCGTTCGTTTTTATCGTTTTTCACAAAACGTTCTAATATCACGCGTACGAGACTACCAACAGTACTCTTTACTGTGTCTTCTTTACTGTGTACGGTGCCTAAATAACTTAAGTAAAGAAAAACTAGTGCCTATATAACGTATATGCGCAATAAATACATACATATATACATATATGAAATGCTGTGACGTGAAAATATCGACCGACTCATCGATCGAAATCGTTCGATGAACGGATCAGTGATACAGTGATACTTGAGATACACGACATATCTCTGTTCCATCCTCGTTAGAATTTTATTCCAACCTTTACCGAAAGAAGTTTTACTTACGCGAAACAAAATTTCCTATCATCGAACTAGAAGTAGGATTAGGACCAGAGAATAATCGTTGACGCTGGCATATACGAATATCGAATTTAAGAAACGACGTTCTATGAAATTATTCGTACCGTTCCTCGGGCTCGAGTGAGCAAGCAGACTTGTACTTGTTGAAATCCAATCGAATATTTACGCCTTCTACGCCTTCGCGTCTCTTTGCAATTTCCGTTCTCTCTACAAAGATCTTCCGCTTACATCACACGTACACACGCATACGTTCAAGATACAGAGCAATGTCTCGTTTAATGTTGTGCAATCTCGGAAATACGTCCACGACAGGAAATGATACGAATAACAATGCAAATACGAATAGTAGCATGGAAGATGATGACTACTATCCGCTGCCTACTATTTATCGGTGAGTGAAATCTTTTCTTTTCTTTCTTCGTTATTTTCTCCTTCCTATTCCTACTACTCGTTTCGGCGCGCACACACGCACACGCACACACAATTGCGCACACACAATTGCACACAACGGACAAACGGACAAACGGACAAACGCGCGCGCGTCCATGTGCAAGGAATATATTAGATTCGGAGTAAGCCTGTTACCCGTAATCGTTAATGCGTTAATCGTAATCGTTGAAATGGTAAACGATAATTACCTTGGAAGTTTGGAAAGACAAATATTAAGATAATTTTGATCGGATAATAGGTTAATAGGGTCATCGAGGAAATAAATAACCTAGTTATTTTATATCGTATCCTTGGCGCTCAAGCACTCGTACGAACACGACAGACACACTGATACGCGCGCCCGCGCACGCAACGCGGTGACGATCGAACATTTCCAACGTGTTTCTTCTATCGTTCGATAAATCAAAATATAGTAACGTTGGAATCTGTTAAAAATTCTGTTAAATAAATAAAAACAGTGGAGAAAGTCAGTGGATAATATGGAAATCGATAGATAAATATAAACGTACACGTATAGGATAAGAAGGAGAAATATAGGAATATTCTTCAGATTTTTCTCCATCTTTTAATGATATCTAAGGCAAAAGGAAATAACAAGGAAAGCAAGTTTGACGTGGAATGACATGCCATAATAAACATTGTGCTAGTTGTAAATGTTTACGTGGTTGTATCGAGCATTCGATCGATCGTGTCCTATTAATACCCTGTATACTTTATACGCGCAGCTGCCGTGCACCTATAGCGAGTTTGGATTGCATGGAAGAATTCAACGGCGGCGGCGGCGGCGGCG